AGACTCCGACCCAGTGTACTCTACAGCTTTATGATTAGGCTCTGATGAGATTCAAATCCCTGTCCTGAATCAGGCAGAGTAGGAACTTGAGCTTGTCTCTCAAATCTCAGGTGACTACCTTAAACACTGAACTACTGGCAATTCTGGGGTGGGTGTCTTTTCCCTTCCCTCATCCTACCTGAGAAAGTTTCAGTAGGTCTTGAGCTGGCCTCACTGCAAACAGTAAAATATTGAAAGTTTCTACGTGGCTCTAATTATAAATCAATATAGATTTTACCACTGCAAGGTGCACTAAATTCATTTTGCACACTAACAAAATTACACAAATTCCATGATCAACTTATTATTGGAGGCCTAGCTAAGCCTGATCAGGTTGAAGATGAGACTCAGAAGTCCATTCATGACATGCTTCACTACAGCTGGGGATTTTTGTGAATTATGAATATGCCAAAATACACAGTTTTAGGGATAAACTAGGAGGGGGGAAAGGGTTTAAAATCAAACAAAGCAATTGATAGATTTAAGTGAAATCTAATTAATAGTTTTTGGCTGAACAATATGAGAGGAAAATTCATTAATGCTGAAATAAAATGTTTTATGCTAAAAAGGTCAAAACATTATCATTTATTATTTTAACACTTTATTTATTATTTTGTCTCACATTTAACTTAAAAATATGTTATCTAAAATGTAAAATTGTTAACAAAAAAGGATTTTCATTTTAGCTCAAACCAAAATTTTAAAAAAATTGGGGGGGACAGGGGGTTCATTTTATTGAAAAAAACAAAACATTTGTTTTGTGATTAACCTGAATTAGTAATATTTTGACTTTTTAGTTCAGCCACAAAGATTGAAAAATACATTATTGGCACAGATCTGTTCATGGCCTCCATCAATCTATCACCACCAAATCCAAATATAGCTTCTACTTTATATATAATCTTATGCTTCCATACTTGTAGGTGAACAATACACTTACTGCTTTTTTTTGCATTCAGTTGCTCGTTCCACACTGAAATCTGGCAGATTGATGAATCCTTCCGCTTTCTCTGCCTACAAGAGAACAAGTCACATGCATTAACCCATGATCAAGTGCAGGACACTGCTGCCTACCCAAGAGTATGCATGCAGGTGTAAACTCCTAACAGCTTTTAATACTGTGCAAATTATTTGCTTCATGTCTGTGCAGGACAATGAAAAACTTTCCTATAGGAACTACCTGTAATGCCAATTTTAGTGAAATGATACAAACTCTGCTCCTCTGCCTGTGCAACTAGGCAGGCAGTGAGTGGCTATGGATGAGAAGTAGACATAGATGTACACTCCCAATCATCAGAGCTGAAGATGATATACAGCTAAAAAGATTACTCCTCCCTGCAGCATCTCTGAAATGGCCTTTATTCAGGATTTGTGACAAAAAAAAACTACAATATAGTCCAGTGTCAGTGATGGAAACAAATTTAAGAGCAATATTTAGACCCATATCTGAAAAGGATTAAAACTGAAGCTGAGCTGGGGAAATGCACGTGCCTTTGTAATGATCTCTCACAGATACTGCCACATACAACAGTCATCTGAGCCTCATGTAGGCAGTGTGGGAAATGAAACTCAACCTTCAGCTCAAAAAAAGAGAAGCCACTTATCTAAGCTGAAAGAAAATGTCAATATATATCAGTAGGAGTAAGAGCTATATCCTCTTTTCAGGCCTGGCCTTTAGAGACAATGTCCGGGGAGTACACGCTTTTTCTGATTCGACATTCACTAAACAGATGTGGTGCAAAAACATATAGAACCCTTCTTAAAATAAAATATCTCATATTCTAGATCTATCTTTATTTACCTATCTAATGTTAGAGCAGCAAATAATTCTAGGAACAATATAAGAGTCCAAAAGCCTGATCTCTAGGTGAAATTAGGTAAGCAAACATTTAAGGCTTAATTTTCTAATTTGCTCATCCTTGGCCTATTACTGGTAACTGTAATGGGAACAGAATCAGACCAATTGCAAACATTTTTTAAAGTACCACCTTACCTGAATTGCATGCACAAATGAAAGCCCAGAAGCTTATTTTAATAAGCATGGCACTAAGAATAAAAAGGTCAAATCAGTATTCAAAACCTGACTCTTTCTGATGACTTCATGGCTAAGTACAGGCAGTCAAAAAGCCTGAGGCTGAATTAATTCAATCTTTGCAGCTTAGTCTAAACTGCACAGATTAAACTCATAAGTAAGTGAACAGACGTTCACTTCTGATTCCAGAAATGCAGCTATATGCCTGTAGTGGCCCAGACCAGAAGTCAGGGGGTACTAGATCATGCCTCCCTGCTTGGCTGCAGCAGACCGCTTGGGCCAAGGCTAGCCTGTCCACCGTTCAAGGGAGGGGGAGGTTGAGAGAGGGGTGCAAAGCATCCTGGGATGCTAGGGGACTGTGAGTTGACTTGAATCTGGAAGGGATCTGGGGCAAAATTCAATAAACCAATTTAACCTAAATCAGCTAAGTCTGATACTACATCCATCCAGGTTTATTTTAAACCATTTTGGCCATTTTCAAAGTGGTTTATATGCAATGAACTTCTGTTGTGTTACAGATTTGAACCAGTTTCTGATCACTTATACCAGTTTATGTACAATTTCTGTCCCCAGCTCAAAAGTATCCCCCACCATCTCATTGGGTGGCAATATTAATCAAACCAGCAATGATACAGACAGCTCAGAGCATAGGGGGAGAAGCGCATGCCTGAAAATGCTTCCTCTGCCTCCCACTAGCCAGCGGGAGGAGCAGGGGGGCAATGTTGGCTCTATTCCGCTCCCATTAATTTCAATTTCCATATTTCTGGGACTTCTGGTCCTCTCTGGCTGCCCCCAAAGACCTCCTGTCTCTCTATTCATTGTGTTGAAGAAGTGCCTTTTCCAGTACTGCAGACCTAATCAATCACTTTTTGGGGTGATCAGGAAGTAATTTTGTCATATTTGGCCAAGTGGCAGAGGCCGGAAGGGGGTTTCTGCCTTTCTTGAGGCATTAGAGAGAGGTTCAAAAGAGTAGGACTTGGAAATGTAATAGTATAAATGCATAGGACACTTACTTGATTGCAGCTCCCAGGCATTACAATTGTAAGAGTAAAATATTATTAATAAAATTTTGTTGCACCTTGCTTATTGTTGTGGACTGGGGTGTTACAGGCTAACGGAGTCAGTTCCCACAGATAAAAGACACTAGGCAAATTAGTGCACAAAAGACGCTTATGGACCTTGGGCCTGTTAGCTTATAAAGTGTTCATGGAACAGCACCCTCTTCTAATGCCTTCTGTGCAGCAGAGAGTATTAAGCAGTGAGCAGTGGACTAGGCTGTAGAGAGCCCATATAAATGTCTGTGTAGTAGGATACCTGGAACCTTACACTGGATCCATTTTGATGTTGGTATATTAGCAAAAGTGTCATGTGGGGTAAATCTATATCACTCAATTACAGCTCCAGGAAGGGCTGGGCTGAGACACACCATGCTCACTCTATGCACGTACTACATCCTCAACTGAAAGTAGCACTGACATTTTAGTGGAGTATTTTATGCGCTCACCCAGTAAGCTCTGCTTATTGAACAGCTTATTGGTACACATGCAGTGCCACAGTAAGTCAATTATCTAACTTGGGTTCTGGAAATACCTTGTAAAGCGTAATTGAGACAAATCTCAGCAAGGCACTGCCTGGCACTACAACTGAGCAGTATAGGCATATCCATAGTATCGTTCCCCAGTTCTGAGCAGCTGGAATACCATATTATATCTGTCTTTATTCCTCTGGCATGGCCTTATTAATTATAGTGAATATAAACACCTCTCTTCTATGAAAGACAGTAAAGCAGACAAATAAATGTATCTATACATTCAGGGAAAACAAACTTGTATGTTCATGGTATCCTGGTAATATCCTGAATTGTTTTATTTCCAGTTTTTCACCCCCTCAGTCCTAATCAAATTATAATTCTGAAAACATACACTATGTTAAAACAGCTAAACTATAGAAAGATATTTCAAAGACAGGAGAAAAATCAGATACAGGAGAAGGTGAAGAAAGTTGGCAGCATCTTAAGTCACAGTGAACACGGACAAAACATGACTATAAATGGTGGAGACTCAAAAACAGCCTTACATTTTTATACTTTCCAAGATTTAAACTTGAGTCGTTGACGATGCTGAGAAAAGGATTAGTAGAGGGTAGAGGCTTAGCATCTCTGAAAATCGGTTACATTCTAATTATCACTACTGAAGTTTGATAACACATGTTCAGTGGGCATATGTGTAGTCTGCATAAGACATCTCTAAATAAATATGCATTTCAGTCAGACCAAATTGAGAGCTCTGCTAACAAAACAAACAAAAAAAACCTCTCTTTTATTTTATTATGATTTTAAGGGAATTTTTTTTCAATCATTCAGAGTGACTGAGGAAAGTTTCATGTTAAGGACTGTTTTGCTGTTGTTGCGGGTTTTTTTGTTGTTTTTTTTTTAAATGAGGAATGTGGGTTTGCTACTGCTGTTTTTTTCCTCTGTATTATATTTTTAAATTGTTTATTCAGAGTGCCCATGGCCCAGGTTTAGCTTTTCTGTCCATTTTTTTAATGTAACTAATTAATTAAGAGAAAAATATCAAACATATAAAAATGAAAACCAACAAGAAGTTCTAGTAAAAATCGAATATATCAACTGGATAAATCTCACCCTGAACTAGTGCTTTCAACCCAGAAACTAGAGTGAAAAAAGAAATATAGGAAAGTCAGTGAAAGAAAAAGGGTGTCCAGTCACTTGCTGGCTCTTGAAAAATTAGAAAGAAAGAACACAGATTTATTGTATGAAAATCTTTGTCACCTACAGTGCTAAATACAATAAACACCCTGAATTTACCTTTGTATTCCTCGTACCAGCCTCTAACAACAAATGACAAAAACTCTATACAAAAGCTGCATGTGGTATCAAAGCAGCACAGAACAAACTGTTGTTCTTGGGTATTACCACTGGATTATCAAGGTGAACCTAGAGAAGTTGGTTTCTTTATTCCATCCGCCCAAAATTGACATACACAACATTTTAAAAAAACAGAGATGAAGAGGGTTTTAAAAAAGAACAGCTCAAATCCCCACCTCACTTCCCAACCACACCCACACCCCAATAAACCAAACCTTTAAAAGTAAAAAGGGCAAAACTCTACAACCCCACAAAGTGTTGGGTAGCACCTAGTATTGATCTGTATTTACACTGTTTATCCAAAATAAATTAATCAATAAATGTATAAAACCCTAGTATATACATTCTTATAGATTTGAGGGCTCAGTGAGAGCTTTCCTCTTGGTAAATTTGTTGTGAATAATATCTGCCCATGGCCCCTAAAATGTTTAATCCAGACAGTCAGCCGAAGGTAATAACTTTTCTATCACTAGTCACATAACCCAGTTACAACTCCAAGGTGAAAGGTTTCTCCTTTCAAAGATTATTGCACAGCATCCACTGGGGCTAGGAGTACAGTTTAAATACAATTAGCCAGAACAAGTGTTAAGGATAAATACTGAGAGTATATCACCACCTGCACTCTCTTTTATTTTATTCATCAAAAGATACCCCATATGTCTGTAAGTGAGGGCACCTGAGTTAGGGGCAGAAATGACACATAAAATGGTATGAGTGATCAGAAATCAATTCAAATCTGTAATACAACAGAAGTTCAGTGCACATAAGAACACCGGTTCAAGATAAACCTGGATGTTTGTAGTATCAGACAACTGATTTAGGTTAAATCAGTTTATTGAACTGATTGCCTCCAGATTCAAGTTAATGCACAGTCCCCCAGCATCCTAGGATGCTTTGTACCTCCCCCAAAAGTCCCCCCTCCTCCCCTCCCCCCCAAACAGGATGGGCAGACTAGCCTCAGCCCAAACTGTCTGCTCTAGCCAAGCAGGGAGGCATGCTCTAGTGCTCCCCTGGCCTCTGGCCTGGGTCACTGCATTTCCAGAATCAAAAGCAAATGTCTGTTCACTTGCTTATGAGTTCAATCTACACAGTTTAAACTAACTGGCAAAGACTGAATCAATTCAGCCTTGGGCTTTTGACTGTCTGTACTTATCCCCAATCTCCAAAAGTTAGTCCAACAGTTCTCCCAACTATACAGTTGGTCCAATAAAAGATCTCACAAAAGGCTATGCCTCTTGACATTTCATGTCTACACTCCACTCCAATAATACTCCAACACTCCATGGTACCCCATGACACAATCATTGACATACCTTTCAAAGCTATACAAGAGAACCTGATTTTTGTCTCTACCCTGGAAACAAGGTTCGTTATCCTTGAGACAAGCCTTTTATTAGTTGATTAGTTCCTCTACTTTCCAGTGTGCCATATGTGACAGACATGGGATGAGAGGGGAGTCTAGCATCAACATTAGTTCTGCTGACCTTTTCTTTCCCCTATTCACAAGCAGAAGTAATAATATGCTCACCAGGTTTCAGTATGAGTCCTCCAGACTACACCAAAAACTGCTAGGGGGAGGCAGAACCAGATCGTGTCCCTTTTACAACTTCATTTTTGAGGCATCAGATAAATAGAACATCAATGAAAAGAAGAAACCAAGGAATAGATGTGTGACTCACAACTGAGTCTGAAGCTCAGTCTGGATAAACTCCAAAACGCCTAGATGCTATCAGAATAATTTATTAAGGTTTCTCGACCTTATTCACAAACCAGATGTCTTTCCCACTTTCCCACCCAACTACGTCCTTGTCAGTTCCCCAACCCAGTCTGAGGGTATACCCAAACAGTAGTCAAGCTAGCTAAAGTACCAACAGCCATGAAGATGAGATAGCACAGGTTGTAAATCTTACTAAGACCATGGCTTTTTCTTTATTATTCATTCCATCCAGGAAGAGCACACACCAATTGCAGATGCTTCTTCAGCCTGATGAAGTGTATTTATACCCAAAAGTTTGCTAAAAAGAATTTTTCCAACTGTTTGAGTTGGTCTAATAAAAGATATCACATCTACCCAAAGAACCTTGTCTGCCTATGTTAGACCAACACGGCTACAATCTATACTCCTGTACTAAGACCAGGGATACATATCCAGGTCACTCGTTCACACCAATGTGTAGGCTGCCACATCTTAACTGCAATTGAGGTCACACTTCTGACAATACACTTTCTGTTGAAATTGCTCCACTGTTGTCCTCAAATCTCACTACAAGTATCCCTGACTGCATTTCTTCCTCTCTTCCTTCTTCTGTATAAGACCCAAGACATGTAAAATATAAGGACAACAGCCAAACCAACAGGAATTTCAGGAGCCTCTGAAGTCCCAAGACAGATCAAAACTGAAAGCTAAAGGTCCACCGCAGGTTGTAAAGAATATGCACCCGGACCTTGGAAAATGTGGATTCAGTTACAAATTCCACCCACTGCTTACTATTGCTCAGCTCTTCTAAAAATGGCAATGTCCAGTATCCTGCTGTTGCTATGCTACAGTTACCAATGTCTGGTCAATGCTCGTTTCTACACAGATTTACAAAACAAACACTCTTGCTGTAAAGAACCTGGTCATGAAGAACGGGAGATAATCCATGTAACTAGACTAAATTCAGTCATTTGAGCTCTACTCCAGACTCCCCTCACCACTCATAATTGATATGTCAATGCCTAAGAGGACCTGCCATAAGATAACTTGAGCTGAGTGTTTAGAAGCTTCAGTGGGGAGCCCTTCTGCTGCATACTCATTGCCTGGCAAAGAATCACCGCCCTACTTTGTTGAAATTGTACAATATTTTACTTACTGACAGTGGAAGAAGCAATATACTCTCTCCCCTTTAGAATGAACATATTGGATCTAATTTTAACCTCAGTTGCATAAGTGGAAGGCAGAAATTCTTCTCTGCAGATAAAAGAATTTCACCAGCTTAAAAACTGGTCTAATGCAGAAGTGCAACCATAACACCTTTTAGTAAAATCAGGAAAAATTGGAACAATGCTATGAGGTGGCCCAGAGCATGACCCTTTTATTCTGCTTCACACGTGTACAATGAGAAGCAGGAGTGATTAACTGACGGAGAAGGGGGCAATATGCGCTTCTCAAAATAAACCAGTGAATGAAAAGAGTCATTCATTTATAAAATGTGATAGGCCACATGCATCTCAAGTTTAACTGAGTGACCTGCACCGGGGCTGGTTTTGACCTAATGAGTGTGACATCTCCTATCTCTTCATAGTTACTATGATGCTGCCACATACTACATTTATTCGGTGGCTGTATTTTAAGTTGTCCAACATCACAACAATTCCATTCAGTCTGTTCCATAAAATAATTTATAAAAGTGAATAAAAGCTAGGGACAAATAGATTATTTTACAGAAGTAAAAATAACTGATTAGTGGTCCTCAAGACTCCTGGTATGAAGCCATGGGTTATTTTAACAAACTGAGGGATGCTAGAGTGGGAGGGGATACTTAAATTTCAAATTGGCAGTATGTATTTTGACTGGTTAATATTAATTGGAATTCTGTTGCTGGCCCTTCCAGGATTTTATTTAACCGGGAGTCACTTCAGTGTGGATTGAAAGGAGAAACAAGGTTTTTTTCCCTTGTGGCTGCTGCCCCATGGTGCAACATGACCCATTCTTAAGAGAGGGGCCTGATCAGACAAAGTCAAAGAGGGAAACTGAGAACAGACTTGATTCCTATTGCCACCCCCACTTTGTATGCATGCTTTTCTTTCCTGCCTTATTCTCCCCCCCCCCCCCCCCGTGTAACCTGTTTAAAATCTGGCTTACCGTGCATTGTCAAAACATATTTTACAATACTGCTATGACCTTGTGCCCAGAGTAGCAGCTAAAAGCATAACTGTAAACAGCAGTCCAGATTTTCTAAATCATGGTGATTGAAAAGAGTGTGTACTGGGCCTGCATTTCTCCAGCATCAAGGCAAGCAAGAGTCAGCAGAGATAAAAGCCACTTTTTCTATCTTTGTCACTCTTTACAAGAGGTAAAGACAGGTCAGATGCAGTTCATGCTGGAGGTGGGGGAAAACTGACAGTCCTCCTATGAAAATTAAGCTAATAGTTCAGCTGGTGAGAACAGAAGGAAAGGAGAGTACACCCCCCCCCCTCCATTTGAATTGACATTTAAGTAAGCCCTTATGGTAAGCATCTGGCAAATACCTTCCACTATTTAAACAGCTATGAAACCTGAAAAGAGCACCTCTTAAAGGAACAGATTATGCAACAAGTCTCTGTTTCCCAAGTGCTTCTAGAACTAAATAATGAAGCAGAAAGAGGACAGAGCCTGTCCGTTTTACAAGAAATCTCGTGGCTGATAATTAATCCCAATTATTTATATATCTCCATTTATATTTCAGTTTGGCCCCAACCCTTCTTTTTCCCTGATACCAGCAGTCCCTGCTTAAGCCACTTCAAAGAGGTAGAAGCTTATTGTACTCACCAGTTGGCTGCTGTACCAATATAACGATGACCCTTTTAGCACAAACCAGAACTTTTTCCATTTGTTGCCAATAAAAGCTCCTTTCTCCTTTTTCTTGTAGAGCCACCCCTGGCAATCCGGTAGTCCCAGTTCTTTACATGATATCCTCCGTCGACTCATTATACAAATCCCTGTGCACATAAAATAAATATTTCTGCTTATTTAAACGTGCATTGCTAAATAAATTAAAATGCTGATTAAAGGTATCAGTCTGCATTTGCCATATTATTAAGTCGTCCAAGTGTCTCTTTAAATGCACGTAAGTCATTCAGTTTTGTCTCATGCAGTAAATACATTCATTTAGAAAACATTATCACGCACAGCTATAAAAAATAACGATATTCTCAGAAAGCAATTACTGACTACACTTAGCATAACTGTACACAAAGATAACATTAATGAATGTAAAATAAAATGCACTAGGTAAACATACGTAGCACCCTTCACACAACTGCATTAGGAAACAATAGATCTATTTAAGTCACAGCTAGTGAGGAGTAGCATCCAACTAATGAAAAGCAGTGTCTGTGTATGTGCATGCCTCTCCCTCTCTCTCTCTCCAAAATCCCCAGCTCTGTCTCTATTGACATACCACAAGAGCTTAGCCCAAATGAAAAGCATGTCGTCATTTTTTCAGAATCAGTGCAAAAATAAGCAGAGTTACAAAGCGGTGGCATAAAACCCACCGACTAAACAGTGGCACAGAAACCTCAACCTCCCATGAACAAGACACACTGATATAAAAACAAATGAAGAACAAGAAAAGATCTCATTACCTTGACTTTTCTTTCTTGTCTTTTGACGCAAGGGAACCTGCAAGAAATGCAGGAAGGAAAGAAAGAGGAAATTTCAGATTACAACATTTGTAAAGAAAGGGGGGAGGACACTGAAGGTGGTGTTGCTGTGTGTGTGTGTGCATACGAAGGACAGAATCTAAAACTCACAACTAACGGGAAGGTACTAGCTGAAGCATAAAATATGTTAATTAAACTTGCTGAACATGTACTTGAGCAAGAAGAAATGTAACACTTTTGTATACTATCTACTAGGGCTTCCTGTTTGGCACCCACAAGCAGCTCTTCCTTTGGTATGTGTTTTTGCTTGAATTAAATACTGGTCTATGAAGTAAAGAAGTTACACCTGCAATGTTTAAGTCTTATTAACACTTTAATCGTCATAATTACCAATATGGGGGGGGGGGGGGGGGGGGGGGGGAGGGTCTTAGATATTTTATTGTTTTTTGAGCAGAGTGCTTTACAGGCACAACTGCAGAAAAGTGATAAAAAAGTTATTGTACTTCATCCCTTTTTATTTCTTGTACTCATGAAGGGGAAAATATATAGTCTATAAAAGGTTGATAAACTGTATTGCAAGGAGGAAGCTTCTGCGTCACAAAATAGCAAAAAAATAAAAATTATTTGGCAGATCTTCATAAATGGAATGGCTAAATTTGCTTAAACCTTATGTCTCCCCATGTGTAATTAGTCATACCAAAAACAGTATATTTTAATTTAATGCATTAATTTGTATAATGTACATATCCATATATTAATCTTGGATTAAAAGTTTTATATGGAAAATTAATTTTACTTACCATAAAATAGAGAAAATGAGAGTAAGATTAAAAAATGGGGATGAGAACACAGGCTAATACGAATCAGAAGTCCTGAGTCCTGGTCTGCTGTGTCTCCTTGCCTCAGTTTTTCTATCTATCCTTTTAAAAATACTCAGTTCTTTAGATTAAAAAGTTTTGTCTTGGCACACAGAAGCAATGGAAGCAATGAGAGATAGTAAGCACATGGAAGCCATGAGACATAATTAGCAGAGGTGATATCCACCTGATAAAGTGTAAAGCTATGTTATGAATGAACATATTGTATTCTGTCTGAAGAAAAGTAGAAGGCAGGGTAGATTTTTACTTTATAGACTAACCAAATAGCTAGGTAGACAGAATGACAGAATGATAGATAGATAGATTCGATCAATCAAGCTTTCATGAGCTGAAGCTCATTGGGCTTTGCAACAGACCCAGATGTGGAACAAGAAATCATACGCAGACTGGATTATGTTAAATATGTTTTAAACAAGGATTATCGGTTCTGATCCCACTACCTGGATTAGTTTTTGTGACCCCTTTGCTCCTAATTTATTGCTTGGCCCTTGTTACAGATTGCGCTTTGAGCTGCTTAAATGTTAATCAGCGTTAGTGCTAGCTCAAGTTTGGAGGAGTCGCACCTTAAAGCTAAAAACCTTCTCTGACTGTCCCCCACTTGCACAGCTATGAGTTACCACTACAGGGCTAGTGAGCCAGGACAGGCTTCTATCTCTGCTCTAGGTAGGGTGCGAGAGATGCGGTGGAGTGGTGGGGGTGGGAACATGAAGCTGAGACGCAGAGTATTAATGGGATAGGTGTGAGTAATAAAATGGCAGGTGGAAATGAAATGAGGGTGGGGGAAGGGTGGTAAAATGAAGCAAGTCAACCACTGAAGGATAAAGTAAAAAGAAGTAAAACCAAAAAAAAATTTAAAAGAAAAAGAAATAAAGAGAAAATAAATTAAAGGAAATAAATTGGCATTTGGGATTGAAGTGTGGAGTTTGCTGGTTGTCTTCCTGAAGTGGCTAGGAGGTAGGAGCAGTAATAAAAGACACTTTTTGGGGAGCTACTACCCCTGCCCAGGGAATGAAGCCCCAGCTCATGGGAACCCAATCCAGCCCCCTACTTCATTCTCCCTGCCCCACCTGCTCTTGACCCCACTCCTGGACCTGTCCATGCTCTGTGACCTGGCTTGCTGGCATGTGCTCTACAGACTGTTTGCACAGGCTTGCACCCAATGGGGTAGGAACATCATGTCTCTGGGGGCAAGAGGAGGAGTTGACTTGGTGACCCTGGGCAGTTGAGTTCAGGGAGCTGAACCTTTGTCCACTTAGAACAACCCTTAGGAGGGTTGGGGATATGATACTGCATCCTGGGATGCTGGAGGACTGCAACTTGAGCAGCTTATCTGTGAAGAGTGGCCATACATTAACACAAGCTGGGTAACATGGATCAAAGATAAAGCTGTCCTGGAGTGACATAACTTTAAGCTGCCTAAAGTGTGCTTAAAACTAGTTTCAGGTGTTAATTCATAGACAATCCAGGTATTAAGAGTTCCAGAAGCTACCTAAAATTAATATGTAACAAGGTCCCTTGTTCATTTGTCTTTCCCAGTGCTGCCTCCCTTCTCCCACCCTCCTTTCTAATGTCTAATTTCTCTCTCATAATTCGTCTTTCTGTAGGTCCTTTCACAGCACCTGATGAAGTGAGCTTCAACTCCCAAAAGCTTGTGCTATATATAATCTACTTTGTTAGTCTATAAAGTGCAATCCTATCCTGCTTTCTGCGATGCAGAGGTGATGTCCACCTGATAAAGGGCAAAATTGTTATGAATGAATTTACTGTATTCTGGCTACCTTAATCTGCCAAAATATTAGACTTTTAAGTAACATAAGGCGTTAGGAAAAGAAAAGCTACTTTATGACATTTTTAAGGAGTTTTTCTCTTCCTGTACTGTGGTGGAATTCAGGGTAATTAAGATACCTGACTACATAGGCCAAAAAATAGTCTTAATATTTTTTTTTAAAACATTCTCTCTGTAACATAGGTAACACATGCAGACTGCCTGATTGTATATCATCAGAGCTTTTACTGGTGTCTGTTTGGGATGGCCAACATAATTTATTCATGGGCAGCTTTGCCAAGAATGAAGAAAACCAGCTGCCTACTATCCATAGTATATTCCACAGGAGGGTTGGGTTTGTTTTTTTAATTTTCTATGACCTGGCAGCCACTCATTCAGGACTCTCTCCATGAAAATAGAAATAGAAAAATATTAATCAAATAGATTAGTTATATGGGAGTCTCTTTTGTTCCACCATTTCCATATACACCATCCCTATTGTTCTTACTTCAGTGAAAACTGTGCCCGATTCATGCCATAGAAAAAAAGTAAAATCTGACAGAATCATTACACCCAATACTTTCTGTTCAGTTGCTTAAATGAGATGAAAAAAGAAGTAAATGAATTAATACGCTGCAGGTGGAAGGTAGGCAGTGGGGATCATGCTCCGGGTTTTGTCACCAAGATGCATTTCCATTACGACATTACTGCCTAGTCTAATGAAATTTTGCAATGGTAAGATTGCCACATGAGGCAGGATGTGGCTGTGTATAACTATTTGAGAAAGAAATAGGTCTCCAGCTAATGCATACCTTTCTTTGCTGTGATAAACCAAAATAGCATAGATTATGGACTGTTCTCATCATAAAATGAGATATAATCTCCACTATGAATCATTTACTATTGATCCCCCCAAAAATCAATGGAGCATATGTTGTAGATCCAGCAGTGAGATCTGGATATAGATTACAGTCCCCATCATTTAATACAACTTTCTGGTTCTAATTTTCTATGATTCCAAAAAGTTCTCATAAAACATCTTGTCTATTGCTCTTAGGTGAAAAACATGAAACCTGTTATTAATACATTCTATTTTCACAAGCCAGCTCTAAGGCAGAAATACAGTAGATCTTTATTTTTACTTTGTTTTTGTATGATTTGGAACACAGGAAAAAAAATGCCTGTGCTTAAGGGATGCTCCATTTATTGCTAACAAAAGATCAGGAGTTCATTCTAGGGCTACAGGGATGAAATTTGCTATGAAATCCACCCATACTCCCAAAATAGTGCTACAGAATTCCAGCTATCTTCGAAAAAGCTTACCAAAGCTTTAAAACACCCTTTTTTATTCTTATAGGCTGAGAAGTATTATGGGGACGAGGGGAAAACCCACACTGCACTCACTGAAGTATTCACTTTCATGTTTGATTTAATTTTAAAACTTCACTTTTTAATTTTCCACAGAGTTTGCAGTCTGCCTTATAAACATGTTACATACTCCTGGGACCTTCCAAATTTTGGTCTACCTGACTACAAAGCACACAGAACTTTGAAGGTGCAGACAGAAATGCAGCTCCTGGTCATAACTCATGGTGTTTTGCAGGAAGTGCCATGAGTTACAACAGTCCCCCGGACCCAACAGATGTTCACTGTTGGGTCCCAGGGGGTAGGGAATTGAGCTGCTGTGTAGAGTGGCTGTGAGCCTAAAGCCAATCTCCCCTAGTAATGCACCCCTCCCCACTCCCAGCCCTGGTGCTATTTTCAGAATGGGAGGGAGGAAAGGGAGCAGAGGGAGCTTGATCTGGGCATTATCCATCTGGTGATGGAGGGTGGGGCAACCCCCAGAGATTGTGGAGGGGGGCTCCAATCCACCTGCTGCACCCTCCGACACTTGCCAAAGACACCCCAGACCGAACTCTCTCTGCTTCCTCTCCTCCCTCCCATTCTGAAGACAGTGCTAGGAGCAGGGCTGCATTGTGTCAGTCCAGCCCTGCTCACAACTTGTACAGACACAAGTTACTGAAGGATTCAGACTGTCATGGGATCAGGCCCTTTTAAAGCACTCTGCAGTCATGCATTTATGTTTGGTCACAACTGTAGAGTGCTTTTAGGGGCAAAAATTGTCATGTCTGTCTGAACCTTGAGTAATACCATCACTCTCCAAAAATCAAAGGAAAGTTTTGCTTTGAAAAAATATCCAGGGCATACCCCTTTCAAACAGGAAATCTTTCATTCCAGGACACTCAGGAAAAAAGCACCAAGAATCATCACTAAAAGAGGGCATGGGGTGGCACAGGCACTAGGGCTCATGACTGACAGTCAGAGGTTGTAAGTCTGAGGCCATGGCAGATGCACTCATGGTGCAGCCATGTCAGATTCAAAAAAATCTGTGAGGAAGGAAGGAAGGATCAATAGAAGAGGCAGTTTCAAGTTACAGATCTGTAAGTTTAATTTCTAAAGAAGTAGCATATCTTTTATAAGGAGCCATCTTTTAGGACAATCAGAAAATGCTGCAAATTATTAGAAAATCCATAACCACTGTGCGGGCCAGGAGCAATCCGGGCCCTTTTTCGTGCCGTGTGGGCTGTGGCCAGCAGCCCGGGCACGCTGAGTCGGAGAAAACAGGCGACACGCTAGAATTAGTCACGGACACGTAATGATTGATTTAAGATTATTTACTTACACCGAAAATGGTTGCGGTGCAGGCAGGAAAACTTACTTGAGTTGCAGTTACAGATAGAAAAGAAGCGAGGCGGACTAGAGTTCCTTCCCGTGAACATTCTTCTAGCCCATCCGGTTGGAGACTCTAAACCGCGAGCCCGTCACGCCAAGCGAAGAAAGTACTCGAAGAAAAGAGCTCTGAATAGACTCACATGAAGTTTGCTAGGCTCCGTGGAACTTGTGCGCGCAGGGAGAGGGATACGTCGAGGATTGCGCTCGGTGATGGGGAGAGGCTAGAGGCTGATCAGACCCCTGTTGCCTTCTTGAAATGCGCTGGGTCCGATAGGCTCCGCAGCGGTTAGAGATCTTCACACAGCGTGAAGTCTCCTCCTCCTGGTGTTCATGGAGTCCTCCCTTGCAGGGGTTCTCCTCGGAGTTCTCCAACGTGGGCGGAAACTGCTCAAGCCTCTTATACGGCTAGCAAGCCAATCGCTAGCCGCCACGTGTGAATAATTTCACGCAAGCCAATAATGGGGCTCGAATTATAATACAAATGGCGGGAACTCTTTGCAAAGTGCATTTCTGTGCTGCAAAGAAGAAATGCACACTGCAAAGAAAGCTACAAATTGGCGGGAAAATAATTCAGTGGTGCCAAAGCATACACAAAACAAAATCACACCTTTGGGTTGTGACAACCACAACTAGTAAAATTAATGTTACTGACAAGGAGCATAGTGGTGACTTCAAAAGTGAATAGGTAAGGTCTATAACATACTCTTATATGGCAATTCACGTTGTTCCAGTATCAACTGTTGTGATTTGATCAGGAGTCTGCCAATATGTGGGTATTCCTAAAGGTCTGGCTCCTAGAATGCTACTATATGTGAGAATTTCTCTTTTTGTTGGGAGGCGGGAGAGGGAGGGGTCGGGGGGGGGAAGAGGTATGAGGAGATAGCACTAGTCCTCCTTGTTGCTTGACAGCACCGACTCAGAAGGTCCCAAAACTCCAAAGTCAACAAAACAAATCCAATATGTGCAGCTTGCTGTTGTTCTTGGGCTTGTTTTTCCATGTCATATTTTTTAAGCCACTTATGATTTTGGAGGATTGACTCATGTTTTTACCCTGACTTATCAATACTGATTTTTTTTTGGTTGTGGTTTGTGGTTTACTACTGAGTTTCAAATGCTCAGCATTGGCAATAGTAGACCTGTGCCCCAGTGGAAGACATCCACACCTAAATGTAGCTTACTGTCTAGCTTACTGTCCAAAGCAAACTGCAACTTCTCTCTGATGAGACTACAAAGTTCAGTCTAGCATTCACATTCTCTCTATTTGCCCTAAGCAATAGGCAAGAACTTACTAGGGAGGTGATATTTTGAAAGGAGTGTGTGTGTCAACTAATGAATCCCATTTTTGTTTTGTAAAATTTGCACTGTATTTTCTACCTCTCCTCCAAGCATAAGTTTTGGTATGGGCTGTGAGTATTCATTTTGTAACAAGAAATTAACATCTGAGGACAGACTACATCTAGAAAGCACTGAGACAGCAATCAAGGGCCACGCCATCAGAACTGAATGGCTCTACAACAATCAAACAAAGGGTTTACAACCAGTGGAAACAGGCTGTTTTGTTCAAGTAGCTAAGTAAGGCTGGACCCTAGAAATTGCACAGGAGAAATGCAGGAGCAAATAAAAAGTTGTCAGAGGGCATGTCTATGTGAAACGTTTACTGTGGAGTAGACTAATTAGCCCCACAGTAAACATCTTGCATGTATATATGCAGTGCTATTAGGCTGGAGTAAACTAATAAACTCCACAGTAGCTTAGTACTTGTAAATACAAGTACTATCCTGCTGTGGAGTTTGTTACTCTGCAGCACCATACATGTAGATGCTGGTGCAGCTGGCAGGGGCACAAGGGTGCTTCAGTGTGGGGGCTGCCTGCCACCTAGCCCTGCACTGGAGCACCCTTATGCCCTGTACCACATTGAGTCAGGTCAGAGGAGCCCTGGGTTGGCAAGCTGACCACCCCCCAGACTGTCTGCCAGCCCGGGCTACTCCAAACCAGACCACTCCTGGGCGCATGGTGTGCTCAGGAGCAATAAACTCTGGTGCAATAAACACCAGAGTTTATTGTTTTGAATGAATTGCATGTGTAGACATGCCCTGAGCCTGGATTTTAATAATGTTTTCTAAAAGCAAAGCAGGGCAGTTCACCACCAGAAGTGGACAGGTAGGCCAAGGTGATGAAATCAAACCTAGGAGACAGGTGGTGGTGAGGGCACTGAGTGTAAATGAGTCCATGAGTTTGTTGTTTTCTATAAATCTGTGAATCTCTTGCACTTCCTTAGAATAGCATGGGTGCATGGTTAAGAAACGCCTTTGCCAAGTCATTGTTACTTGCTTTGTTCCCTTGTTTGCCCTTGAAGTGTTCAACTAGTGCCCCAAGGTACAACTTCTAGGTGGGCTCTAGACCAATCACAAAGCAACTGGGGACTCAAAAAGTTTTGAGGCATTGATTCCAGGGATAGACAGCTGGATAACTACCCCAAGATGGTGTCAGAGTCTACTTGGAAAACCCAGTGCTAGAAAAAATAATCAATAATTTCCCAGATGCACAGGACACAGAAGAACTGGATTCAGAATAGGATTCATAGTTGGATCCCATCACAACAGACCTTTGTTTTTTTCAGAAAGCATGGCTAGATCAGCTTGCAACAATCTCATTAGTTGGCCCAAACAATAGGCATTTTTAAAACCAACATTTTCCTTAGTCTTTTGGATTCCACAAGTACATTAGAAGGAGTGACACTGCCCTATCCCATGATTGTCATTCCCAACATTTGAAATATACTTACAAGAGCTCTGCTGTCATCTGCCATATGCAATTCCAAAACTTAGCAGGAGAGCTGTAACAAACAAGAGAGTTAGGTTTACATTCTGGCTTACACTTTCGCAGCATCTAACTCTATAATGGGAGAAAAATAGTTTTTCAAAGAGTTTAAATTGTCCAAGTTTAGAAGAATACGGGTCTAGTAGTATATGAATTGCATGATATTAATGCAAAACAAAGCCTTTTGAAAAAAGAGGTAGAAATGATCCAAAGATTTTCCAGTCCATGGACGTTTTCCCCAAAAAATGAAAAAAAAAAAATCTTCAACATTTTCATGAGAAATTTCAAGATTTCTGCTCCAGAAAGAAGTGGTAGTGCCTCCTGGGCATTTTAGTCTGCTACTCTGACTCCCCTCTTCTGTATGGGTCAGAATTCCCTGCCAGACTCCATTTTCTATAATGCACTAGTCTCCCCTTATAGAAAGACGAAGCTGTAAAACATTGAGTTCCTTACAGGAGGTGTAGTCTAGCAGCAGACTGCAAGAGATCTCAGTCTGAGGCCATCAACATAGATAGCCTCAAGTAATCAACTCAGTATGGGTTTAGAAAGGTCATAGTCCTTTAGTACCTAAACCGTCTCTGGCAAGGAAAATCAAGGCAATTCAAGGAAAATCACAGGAAGTCCTTTTATCAGTATGGCATGTCTACATGTGCTTTTTACAAGCACCTAAACTTTGGGCACATTTGCCTAACGCACATTAAGGCAATTTATATAGCTACCAGATCACTGTGTTTGAGTATCAAAGAATCACTCCAGGAAATGGAGATTTTAGAGAAGACAGAAGTCTACTCAAGTGAATAGCACAAATGCATTAGAAATAATTTGTGGAAATGTAGTCTCACTTTAGGGAAATCTATAACTAGCACTTTCTTCTTTGTTACTGTCTGAAACTAAGTATTTCACATCTATATCATTATTGATATGCAGTATTTGTTTTATTTTGAAAATAAAAACTTAAAACAGATTTAAAAAAATTATACAGCTTGGCTACCAACAGTTCTAAATCAATAATAGAATGGAAAAAGATGCACATGCTCTAAATTCCAACAGTTTCTAAACAAAAATAAAATGATGATCTTTCTAGAAGTAGCTACTAGTGAAATAATATCAAAGTAAGGAGAGATACTACAGAAAATAATTTCAAGACTGTTTAGAAATCATATCCAGTAGTAAAAAAAAAGAGGAAACACCATTAGTTATGTAAGCAAATTAAAGTAGGAACATCAAACAGTGATCCAGAAAACAAGGGTAAAAGAGGAAATAACAGCAATCACTGTGACATCAGGCTTTCCCTGAAAATTGATTTTTTTTTTTTTTAGAAGTGGTAGTTTATAAGAACTACAGAGGGTGCATCAAGACATTTACTGCTCAGTAATTAGTTGCACAGTAAGCATTGTGCATCTAAACATGTGCTCCTATTATGCTGGAATAAAATAATTTACTCCACAGCAGGATAGTACTTGGAAATACAAGTACTATCCTGCCAAGAAGTAAAAAACTCTGCACCAGCACACATGCAGATGCTGCCCTGGCTGGCTGGGGCACAAGGGTGCTTCAGTACAGGGGCTGCCTGCCAGCTAGCCCCATGCTGAAACACTTTTGTGCCCTAACCAGCCCCTCCGCAGCATGTTCAGTCAGAGGGAGCAGCCCCAGACTGGCAGGCTGACCCCCCGGGGTCCCCTGCCAGCCGGGGCTGCTCTGACTCGGCTCAACGTGCTGCAGTCCTCTGTGCAATAAACTCCAGAATAGTAAACTTCAGAGTTTATTCATGCATATTAATTGTACTCTGTAGACACACCCAGCTTTAAAATTGTCAGTAAAACAGAGGCAGGAATTTAGTTTATTGTCAGTGAAAAAGTTTTTTGCCTAACTCAGACCATTTGTACTTGTGTCTGCAGCGGACTTCAACATAATCTTTGCAATGATTTTGGTCCAGGATAAAATGTTCTAAAACTGGCTAACTAACTTAGAGTCCCATTTGCAAAAGCAACTTGATGCTCCAGTACCACTACATTTTACCTTAAAATAGTAAAGAATGCACCATTCCCTGCAGTACAGATCAAGCAACAGAGCACAAACTAAATCCCATTTCATTTTACACACCCAAATGGCATGCACACAGCTCTGTAACTTCAGTGTTTGACATTTACATAAAAATTTAATATGAAACATGCTCATTAGGGCTGCAGTCTGACCAGGCACCTGCATGGTGAAATAGGATCACTCAGCTATACATGCAAGTCCCAAAATTTTAGTTGCAAAAAACCCATAGCTAGTGCAAAGGAGCATGAGGAAGGCCATAAGACAGGCCTTATACCCAGGCATTTCTGTTTATATTTTCCAGGTGCAGCAACAAATGTGGCAGAGGAATGTCTTAACTAGGTGAATCTGGAACACGAATCTTTGTATATTCAGGTTGTTCTGAGCCTGGAAATGTTGGGTGGGAGAGGGTTCAAAACTATGCAAGTGGTTCTCAACTGTGGACAGGTTGACTGTGAACCCATTTCTCCCTAAAAAATAAGATCTATACTATAGTCAGAGGTCTAACTGCAGAATGTGCAGATACACCCAAGCAAATTGTAATCTAGTATGTCTGAGTACTATACGAAGGCAAGGAGGGAAGGCATGCTCCCTGCAATTACAGGCAATATAATCTTTTCGGCTACTAAGTACACAGGATCCTAGGAACATTTGTACAGCCCATGCTGTCATGGCTTAAAGTTAACTCCGGTATCTCTACACGTATTGCATTTTTACCTCCCATCTAGAGTGCAGTCATACCTACAGAAGTCTCAGAGAAGGCATCATTACTAAGGTGAAAGGATTTTGGCTTTGGGAAGGTAAGTGTATCTTAAAAATTTGGTAGCACTATCAAGATCATTGTACCTGCCTCCGCTCTACCAGGTGTTCCCGCACCGCCTTTACCCGTGCCCAAGGCTTCGTGCGCCCTGGCTTCGTGAATGCACCCCGGAGGTTACCCCCACTGGTATCAGGGGGACCCCTGAACTCACCTGCCATGACTTTGATGGTACCTTCAGTGGGGGGTCCACCCTTGGGGTATCCACCGGTGTTGGCGCAGTCCTCGGCGGGTAACCTCAGGACTCCGCTCTCCCCTACACCCCAGCCACTTGCCACCTTAGGCTCTTCCTCTTATGGCCTCAACGTTGCTCCTGGCTTGCCACCCTCTCGCCTCAATACGCCGACTGTCAACAACGGTCTTCGGGCTGGGCATACTGCCTATAGGGACGCCAGCCTGGTCCCTCTGGCCTGGTACCTACGTTCCTCCGGGGGTCTGCGAGGTCGCCGTACCTCCCACCGGCTCTCCTCTGTATGGGGCACCCGGTTATGGCCTGGTACCTACGTTCCTCCGGGGGTCTGCGAGGTCGCCGTACCTCCCACCGGCTCTCCTCTGTATGGGGCACCCGGTTACCTCACCGATGCCCTCTTTCTCGATGAGCCGGTTTCCCCACCGGCTAAGTCGATAGTCACAGTGCTGGCCTCTCCACCAGCACTGCTGCCAGCTGCTCCGCTCCATCTCTCGGAGCCAGGTCTGGCTCTGCTTCCTTCCCTTCCACACTCCGCGGGTGGCGGCTGACTCCCCGCTCACTGAGGCTTCTCGCTTCAGCTTCCTCCGTCCAGCCGCCATGTTGCCTCGGCGGGGCCGCCTTTTGTTCCTCCCAGAAGGCGTCCCCCGCCCCCGCTGCTCTGCCGCAGCCGGATAAATGCCCGGCTGACAACCCGCGCCGGCGTTCTCGGTGCGTGGGCTTCCCTCCGCTCTTCTGGCCCTGCAGGAGGTAAGCGGGACCCTTTGCTGCCCCGGGGGCCTTCCAGTGTCCCAGCTCCCCTGGGACGATCATGTATGGGAAGGAAGTCAATCAGTCAGAATAAAGGGGTGTTTGAATTGGTGGTCTGAGTGTAGGAGCAGTGGGAGATGATAGCCTTACAGAATCAGACTGGTGGTAGGAAGGAAGACTAATGGCTGACAGACAGACATTTCTCCTACCTAGCCTTTTCCAAAGAAAGTGTTCTAGTTTCCATTATGAAACATGAAAGCCTCCTTTTTTTCTCCCCACTTACCAATTAACCTTCTTTATTCTCCACCAAAATGCTTTCCTGAAATACTTTATTTCACACATTCCTACCACAGCCTCCTACTTTTTCCTTTGGGAAATGTAATCCATTTACACTGGGTGGGGTTATTTATTCCTACAGAGATGTCACTTAAAACTATCTGGGAAGAGTGGCATATACATTATTAGTAGTAGCAGGAATAATAATGATCATGAAGGAGGACAAAGAGGAGGAGAATTCATTAGGCACCCAAATGTGTAGATAGTAAAAGAAACATGCATTCTAAACTCAGAATACTAGTGTGACCAGACAGAGGTTGAATCTAACAAATATTATGAGCAGAAAAGTAGTTTAGCAAAAATCTTTCTTTTAACTCAGCCACTCTACTCCCCATATGTTTGCTAGTGACAAATACGCATTCTTGTAAAGATGACAAAAATATTTCAAGTGAAAACCATCTGCTGAAAAATTATATTTAAAAAAAAAGGAAAGAAAAGTCCCCAAGCTATTTCATCTTTTTTTCCTCAAACACTTAAAAAAAAAAAAAAAAACAACGTCTCATCTAAACTTTGGATGAAAATTTTAGCAAGTATATTGATTTTTCACAAGATGGCTATATTGCTAGTTCTGATTCATCAATATCATTAAGGGATGTTTTTCTACAAGTGAATGTTTTAATTTTAGAAGAGCATCAATATTGAACAAGCATTAATATTTCTGCAAATTCTAGGGGGAGGGAAGAACAGGTAAAATTATTTCAATCAGCAAAAAAATTTAATGGAAATGAACTTTTTTTTTAGACTTTTAGGGGAAGAGTGGGGGGAGCATAGAAAATTCACCCAAAAAAGGACATTTAAATTATTTCAAACCTAGATGAACCTTCAGTCCAAATATTCTTGATCATTTCCATCTGGATTTATATTTTTCATGTCAGGATTTATATTT